CCCCAAAACCCCAAAACCCCAAAACCCCTTCATAATTTATAACTCAATTGAAGTAAATTTAAAATGTAATTATTATAACTTAATAAATTCTATTCTGCAAACTTACTCTTTTGCTATCCAGATATCTCATTCCACAATTTAATATATATTCTATGATAAGCATTATCAATTAAGGTAATGTTTGTTGAAACAAGCTACTCTCCAACTTCCATCTGGGTTTTCCTTAAGCTTTAACTCTCCGAATTCACCATGTTTCAGACTGCCTGGATTAACTATTCTTATGTTTTTCATTTTATCCAGAGCTGCTCCTTCATGGCAATGACCATGCAAATTACAAATGATTTTGCCTTGGTTTTGCTATAGCAATTTCGCTAGGTAAGGTGATCCAAAATGAATAATGCCTGTGTCAAGGAAAGTTGTCTTATCTTAAGCTGTACTACTTCCTCTGGGACCATCATGAGTCATTAGTAGAATATTCCTAGGCATAGATTCCTATTCCATTAAACCATCTAGATCTTTTTTAAACTGTTCATCAGTAGAATAAGGATAAGGGAAGTAAATTTCACTTTACTCTAAAGATCCATATTTCTAAAAATCTGATCTAGTTGAACCACCAAGTGCTACTAGAGCTAAGTTAGGTCTTAATTCAGTCCAATCATTGTGAATGTTGTTTGAATTATAAGTTAAATTGCTTCTCTTATCTGCAGGTAAAAGTAGACTATTTGGATCATGGTTGCCAGGAATGTAAAATATCGGGACATCTACAATCTTTTCAATCTATTCAAGGATATCAGCTATTTCCTATTCTGCTTTTTATTCCTCCTCTTATGATACACCACCCTCTTGATTAGGCTAAATATTAGCGAAATCGCCAGATATTAAGACATAGTCATAGTGATTCCTCATATTGTTCAGTCTTGTATTTCTATGCTCATGAAGCCACAATTTTAGCATCTAAATATAATCATAGGCGAGATGAATATCTGATAGACATAAAAATGTCAACTAATTTTATTTTGATAATGGGGTTCTATCTTCGAAAGAGGGAAGACCGCTATCTGTGTATTTATTATGTTTAGGTGAAAGTTCCATTGCTAAAAGATATCAATATATAATGTATAATTATTTATAGTCTTTCAGAAACTTAAGCTCATAATGGCTTTAAGGGGTTTTGGGGTTTTGGGGTTTTGGGG